CATAATAATAGAACATAAAATTTCGTTAATGCCTTCTTGATTGTTCAGCAATTTCCAATGCTTTATTTAAATTGAATATACATACTGTATATGCCTATCATGTGGCAAATTTATAGCGTGACTAATAAATTGTTAGATCTTCAAGAGACTTTTCATATCTGCCTATCATAAAGTAAATTATCAACAATCAATGAATGCTTAATTCGATTATTTAAATATTAGGTCGATACAATATTTCTTTGTTTTGCTATGATTGAGATAATATCTCTAAAATTATATGCTGGAAAGTTTTTTAGTCCCACAAATTAACGTACTCAACCACCCATTCATTATAATATGTGTCTTCATCACAAACTTCTTGGTTATTTCTAATGCCATTCTGATTATTTTCGTTTTCATTTTTATCTAGATCATCGCTATCATCATTTTCATCACCATCGGTTTCATCGTTATCATCTTTATCGCTATCGTCTTCATCGCCGTCATCTTCATCGCCGTCGCCTTCATCGCCGTCATTTTCAATATTATAGTTGTTATCATTATTCCCACCACCATTGTCATTTTGGGTTAAATCAACAATACTTTCGCCGTCACTTGCATTATCCTCATCAATATATACATATTCACCATTTTTATTTTGAGCCTCTGGGTTATTAACCTAATTGTAATTGAACATTAAATCTTCTTCGGTACCATTTTGGGCAGTGGAGATGCCACAACACTTGAATGAACGTTTGATAAGGGCGGGATCAACTTGGTTCCATGCTCTTAATACCCATTCGGCCACCAAATTATAAGCAGACCATTGGATACGACCTGTACGAGTAAGTTTTTTGATTTCTTCTCCCATTCAATCATGATAGAATTTGCGATACTTAAATAAATTAAATAAGTAAATTTATACGAAATAATAGTTGTGCGAATTCAAAAGAAATAAAAAATAAAAAATAAAAAAAGATAAAAATAAAAAATAAAATAAATAAAACAAAAATAAAAAAAAAAAATAAAAATAAAAAAAAAAATTACAGAATAGAAAGCCATCATAAGAATTTGCACTCAATATAATTTCTTTACAAGCTTCAACACCTTTTTCTAAAATGCAATAAACAATAAATCGAGCACCAGGATAAATCGGTGGAAGCTTGTTGAATTTTATGTCTGTAAAAATGTTTTGAGCAGCCGGTGGGGGTGTAAAAAAGAAAAAATGCATATAACGCTAATAAAGTAAAATCGAGTTTATATAGAATCCTATTACGTAATTCACTAATTAATAATCACTTATATACTGCGCATTATAATATGTCTATTGTGATAATTTTTTTTAAAAAATAAAGTCAAGAACAATTTTGCTGCACGAGTATATATACATACAATCAACCCAGATATAACGAACTTAAAATGTTGAAATTTCATAAAATTTAGTAAAAAAAAATGTTATAGGCTCTTAGAAAACAATAATTTTTATAATAAACTTTCTTTTCTTTTAGAATCGTCAGTTTGTTATAGAAAAAGTTAACTGTTTATATTTTTTTAAAAAAAAAAAATTATCTGTTTACCTTGTCTTTAAAGGACTTATTAATATATATATCTAATGGCTGTAATTTCTTAGTAAGTCCTTCTGGAATGACTGCCATATTACAGTCAGGGGATATACCAAATTAGGCAATCAGGTTCTGGAATAATCGACACGAAGATCCATGAATTTGATTGGCT